CCCCCACTCCCCGCCAAGACCAATTTCCTAGGGGAAACACTGTAATTGATTTATGGCTTATAGCTGAGTGGCATAACAGATTGTACAGCACCTTTGTTCAACACCTTAGCATGCGATGTGGTGGGTGATATTCATTCCATAAAGAAAATGTTTCTTTCATTTTAGAAAGAAACCGTGCTACCCTTCGGTTAAATTTGAGCTATTTGCAAAAGATTGTTTCCCTCTCCACAATTAACTGACACAACATTATTCAAACCTTAAAGTCAGATTAAAAGCAGCTTTTTACGTTTCTTGAACATTTAGAGGAAACCCTCATAGTTGGGGAAATAAATCTTGTCTGCACCCTGAGACTCCATTTAGTGAAGCACTGACTCTCCCTTTGTGAGCTACATTGGTTTTATGCTTCAGTTGTGTTTGCTGTTGCTGGAAAGAGACAGGATTACTGAACACAAAACCGTAGATGCGAGGTGAGGCTTAGTGAGTGACGATGGCTTTGAACACTAGCATAAGGACAGTCACATGCTTTTTCCAGTCAGGGGTATATTGGCACAGGCTCATGGATGTGAATATTTGGACGATTTCAGCACACTCTGAGACACACGCTGTATGAATGCACACAGTCATGGGGCGTGCAGCAAATATTTTAATATGTTTTACTGGTTTTACTAGTTTAAAAAGGCTTTTGAGGTATTAAGGTGTATTGTTTGTTAAATGGGAGATTTGATTCCTAGTCCACAGCATAGAGCAGACACATGGGCTGGGCTCAAACATACGACCCACCTAAAGCGGATATTTTCACACAAGCAGCACACACACACACACACATCACAGAACACAAGCTCTCAGCATCCGTGCCCTGACCATAGGGAGTTTGTGCTGAGCTGGTTGGGATGTCAGGATGAATCAATGTGAGGACAGCTGACTGGACATGCCTATTCATCTGCCAAAGAAAAGAGCGAGGAAAAAAGGGGAGCTAGGAATTCTAAAAAGGAATGAATTGAGCCCCGGAGCAACATGTTTGACTATGTCCATTACTTTGCCAATCCTTTAAAGAGCGCTGTGTGTTTATAGGGATGAAAGCTGAGGAGGTAGAAAATACAGTTGAGTACATAGAGAGTTGGGGGTTGTGAAAATATACGTAATGACAAAGATGTACTGTAAGCTCATACTGTTGTACTGTAGAGGAGACTAACTCTATACTGATGGCCTGTTTATACCCATCTGTTGCCATCAGTTCTCTGACTTTATCCCCATTGTGTTAACTCATTACATTCGCCTTAAACTTAAACCCTTAATTACCACCCTCCAGTTTCTCCGGCACGTCCTCCCCCTCTCTTGGAGACAGTGTGCCACATTGCCCGTGCACTAATCTGATGGCGTCTTCTTATAAAACACCTGCCATATGCAGAAAGACCTCTAAACTCCTCCATATTTGAGAGACAACACCCAATCCAGTGTGAGCGGATCAGCATACACAACAACATGCAGGGAGGCGGGCAGGCGGACAGATGCGCCCTTGGATCCAGATACAGAGACAGATAATTAGACAGACAGCCTCAGCTCCTGAAAATCATAACGGTGTTTCTTTTAGCTTTTTGTCTGTGCTTTCCCAATTTTTTTCCCTCGCATTCTTGAACCGATGTCTCGAACAAGAGTAGCCTTTTGTCCCTGCCTCTTTGCTCAGACAAGTATTCGAAGACAGTGATGTGTAGGCCCAGGCCCCTTTGGTTTAACAATAACTATCTCGACCCCCTAATGAGGGCTGGAGCACCAGACGTGAGGCGATGTGACAGTTCTGGTGCGGACTACACAATAGCAGGTTTCTCTTTTGACTGCCCAGCCGGCTATATACCAGAATACCATCTTTGACTGAAACATTCCTAGAAATGGTCAAGTGATAAAAGGTTTCCTTTTTTTAATGATCACCTGTCTGTCAGCTGTAATTGGTTTAGAATATATTGTTTGATTGAAAAATGAGTTTTCCATTTATTGAAAAATATTAAAAAACTAAATATTATTAACATACATTTTCTTTAGCAAACATTGTCTCCTAATATTCAAAAATAAAATTAGTGATGTGCTTTGCTGCTATCTTTAATTTTTTTTGTTACATTTACTCCAGATTCAAGGCTCTGTATGTGCCAGTTTGGTACTAAAATGAAGTTTGTTGATAATGGTTTATTGATTGTGAATTAGAGTGGATGGCCCCTAAGGGTTCATCCTGGCTGGCCAGGAATGAATGCATCTCTTCATGCTTCACTTCACACACTCAATTTAGGCATAGGGAACCAAAGGACTGACAGACATGCATGTTGAGACACTGACCCGCAGTCTAATACATACAGACAAGCATCGTTCAYATACTGTGGACTAAAAGGGTATTCCAAATATCTGTTTGCAGATTTTAGTCAGTACATGTGTTTTTTAGACACATGCAATAATGCACAACAGCTTCAAAACACCCCTATTTAATTTAGCTTCTAAGGAGACAAACTTGTTGACATATTTTGTATAATGCTAATTATGCAAATATTGGATATGTTTAAACTCTGATCTAACTTCAAATTCTTTCATTTCTAGGAATTCCTGTGAAAACTGCAWGATCTAAAGGTCAAGATGGACAGTAAAAATGCAGCTTTTTTGCAAGATTCCGGTGCTGCTCTAGGAACATTGTAACTTTTATGGCATAAACTTTGCACTGTCAGAAGATTCACAGCTGTCCTTTTTAAACTTTTTTAACACGTGACTGCTCCAAAAGAAGTAATGGAGATAGAAGAGAAGACGGATGTAACACAACAAACACTTAAAGTAAAAGTAGAGCCAGAGGAAGATACGGCGTCATGCCATACCTGTGGGGTCTGTGGTCGTAGCTTTCCTCTCCTCAGCTCTCTGTCTCAGCACATGAGAAGACACACCCGGGAGAAGCCGTACAAGTGTCCCTATTGTGAGCACAGGGCAGCTCAGAAGGGCAGTCTGAAGGCTCACATTCGAAGCCATAAACTGGGCCTTTTTAGTCAAAACTCCAGTGACAAGAAGGAGGAGGGAGATCAAGAGAAGAAAAATGTTCCTGATATCCCTGACCCCCATGAAATTATCAGCACAACTGACAAAACTCATACTATCAACGGGAAGGTAAAGAAGAAAGCATCTAAGAAAAAAGTGAAGACTAAAGATGGTATCAAGGTTGGTGATGCGGCTGATTCAGAACCATTTTCCTGCACCATCTGTGGCCAGGTTTTCCCTCAGGTATTACTCCTTAAATCCCACATGAAACGACACCGTGGCTCCCAGGATCATGGATGCCACATTTGCGGAAGACGCTTCCGCCAAGCATGGTTTCTCCAAAGCCACATGCGCATTCATCGGGTCAAAGCGCAGCTCCATGGCAGTAAAAGCAACGAACCTCCCGCTACCATTAACGGGATTCCCCAGGACCCAGCATCACTGACAAATGAAGAGTGCCTCTATGAGCTCTGTGCCAGCTGTGGGAACTTTTTCTATGACCGCAAGACCTTGCGGAATCATGAAAAACTACATAAACTGAACCATGGCCATACCCAGAATCCACCACACAAAGACGTGAAAGTCTCTGAGCTGCTTGTTGATAAGAAGCAATTTTTGGAAAGCTTGAACCTTACTACTACTAAGCCTAAAGAAATACCTGTGGAAAGTATTCTGGGTGGGCGAATACTAGAGCTGGACCCAGTTTGTAGTTACCAAGCATGGCAGCTAGCCACAAGGGGTCGACTAGTGGAGGCTGCAGAAAAATGTCTGGGATGGGAGGAGAGACTGGCTGATGCAGAGGTGGCGTATGACACAGAGAAAGGAGAGTATGTACCCCTGAAGCCAGAGAAGAAGAGGAAGCAAATCGACACCTCGCACTCCAACTTAAAGAAGAAGAAAGGCGATACAGGCCTGGATCACACATCAAACACCTTGGGCAATGGTAAAGGCGGAGACAAAAAGATTTGTCAGAAGGACCGTATTCTTTTAAATGGACTTGGTCATGCTTTTTATGAGGCACTACAGAAAAAGACTGTTAAAGATGTTCAACTCTCATCTAAACCAAGCAAGAACTTCAGAAGCCAAGAGAAGGAAGGTGAGCACAGAATATCACTTACTCCTCTGGCTAATAAATGTGCCCTATGCAGAGTTTTTTTCCCCTCATCTTCCCTTGTGTGGTTTTTAGTTTTTCTGTTGTTAAAGGTAGCGCAACTGTGTTTGCTGCATGACCGGTTTCACCTGTTCCCCCATGTTTGTCTTGTATGTCTTCTTGACTGGGTGTTTCTTAACTGCCCCCTCCCCCCTTCCCTGAATGAACAGCACCTTGTGAATTTATTTCTGTGAAAGGCGCTATATAAATAAAACTTTACTTTACTTTACTTTACTAATATTTGCACAACCCCCCAACTCTCTATGACACTTTAAATGTTACAATATTCACATACAAAAAAGAAAACATGCATCAGTCCTGGACAGTAATTCAACATCAATATAAATTGATAGAAACCATTTTAATAATAGTTATATGTTTAAAAAAATGCATTCGACATACATTACATCAGTGCGTGATGACGTACACCACAGCCTCAATGCCAGTGCTCTGTCAGTGCTACCACTGCTTACTCCATGCTAACAATGCTACATACAACACAGTGGATATCAGCGCCAAAATGAGCTYGACAACTGTAAGTGAACAAGTGTCCACAGTTGGAAAAAGAAGCAGAAGAAATAGTTAGGAAAGGAAAGACTACTAATCAGTTGTGTGGCAGAGGTTCAGGTATCGCAGGGCTGATAAACTTCAGCTTTCATATATACCTGTTGCTCTCAGTGGCATGGAACCTTTGTTACAATAAATCAATCAATGTTATCTTTCCTAAAATGCATAGTTGTTACAAAACATTTGTTGTCACAGGCACTTTAAAACTTTGCTGTGGGCAAAAGTTAAAATTCCTTAACATGAGATGGAATTACAGCCTCAGTTTACATCTAAGAAACATTGTTAATTCGTCTGAGTTTTGTTTGGTAAATTTAAGGCAGGTATAGTCAATTACGGTCCTTGAGGTCCGCAGCCCTGCACGTTTGACTTGTTTCTCTTCTCTGACACACCTGATTTGAATGAATGGATGATTTGCAGGCTTCTGCAGAACTTGGAAGAGGTAATGCACTGACTAAATCAGGTGTGTTAGAGAAGGGAAAAAAGTAAAACATGCAGGGCTACAGACCTTGAGGACCTGAATTGATTATCCCTCATTTACRGTGTGTAATTTTAAATCTAGTCAACCTTGATGTGGTTGTCATTAAATAATGTGATAAAGGGAGCCATCTAGTGAATTTCTAGTGGATTTGCAGCACTTGGGACAGTGTACTTTATAACTCACTCACCAAAGTTACCTCATTTAAAAATTTCAAAGTATATAATAACCTGAATTTCAAACTATTGTCAATAATTATTTTACAGGTTATAATTCAGCAATACACACATTTAAGGTTGTGGTTTTAGAGGGCCATGCTCATTAGCTCAGAGACTGGATGTATTGACTGCTATTTTGACTAACAATAATTTCTAACTCTTATCATTAGGTTTTGCTGTCTTCATGTGTGTAACACTTCAGTTGACGATCACACCTCCACCTTCTGCTTTTATTTCCAGATCAAACATCCTTCTTCTGCGAGCACTGTGATTTCCACACTGTTGACTCCTCGCTGCTCACGTCTCACCTGTACAGTCAGCACCTGGGCTCCTACAGCAAACACAGCACCACTGTGGATAATGTCAGCAAAAGTGGGTCCAGAGCCTCAAGATACATGGACTACCTCAGAAGCAGGAGTTTGTTGCTCAGTCAGCCATACTGGAATCCCTGCACCCGCTCTCCTGGCCGGGAGTCGACAGAGGAAAATGTCAAGACAGCAATGTCTAACGGAGGTGAAGTCAAAGAGGAGGAACGTGCTGCTGGGGACACTAACAGTCTTCTCAATCTTTCTTCACCACCTGTTACTGATGGAAACAGTTATTCAGTGAAAACAGAGGGTCTGGTGCGACATCAGTGCCTATACTGCTCCCACAAGACCACCTACCCAGAAGTACTTTGGATCCATCAGCGTGTTGCACACAAGGTAAATGGCAACAGCTCTGTAGCGCCCAAGTGGGCACCCTGCATAAACACTCTAAAAAGCTTAAAGGCTGGAGCGTCTCAGTGGAGGCGCACCGGACCACCCCCTTTTCTGGAAGGCAAGGACTGCCCAGCTTTACCCGCTCCTCGGACTCAGCGAACGCAGCCTCCCGGGGTCACGGCTCGCAGCAGCAGCAGTAGCAAGCACTTAACACCCAGGACCCAGTCCGGCATCTCAAAGTCCAAGCATCACTCAAAGGACTCCCGCTCTTCAGATGGGACGCAGTCTGCTGGGAAGGTCAGCGTCCACGCTCAGAGGAGTTCCGGCGAACACAAGCGAGCAGCGGAGGGTGGGAGCAAAAGCTCCAGTGGCCACGCTACTTCTTTAAACAGTTCTGTGCACACCAAACGTCTGGACGGCTTTCTGCCTTCAAGCAGCCCCAAACACAGAGGCGACAGAGCTGCTGTGGAGGGGGTCTTCCCACAGGAAGGTTTGGGTTTCATGCTGGCGAGAAATCACAGCRGGGCTTCGTCAAACGCTGCAGCCAACAGATCCCACTCCCGCAGGCAGTCATGTGACTTTTCCTCAGGTCTTAAGAGTCCTGATCTCTGGGCAGCCATGAACATGTGGGGGCCACATGGGGCCAAAGCTTATTCAGATCCCCTCCTTTTTGCTCAGGGAAAGAGTGAATCAATGGGAGAGATGCCAAAGGATGTGGATATTTTGAGTTTCTTGAAGAACTACAGTCCCAGTGATCTGGCGGCTCTTTATCAACACTGGGGGTTCGTTGATCCGAGACTTGATCCACAAAGTAAGGAAGACTTATTTTTTTAACACACAACTAAATGAATTGTAGTTACTGCAGGAAGGACAGACACAAAGCTGAAACATTCTTTTGTGTGTGCACCTTCTGCTTAATTTAAAAATAATCGCTTAACAAATACGCAAATGTCAATGTTTTATGTTTAAATGTGCTACAATTTTGCTTTCACAGCAATGCTGCAGTTAAACGGACATTTTGGAAATGAAGTCCATTCCTCCTCTGAAATTTCCAAACAAGTAGGTTTTTCTGTTTTAGCACATTGACACTTTAGTGAAACACTTTGGAGTCCATAGGGATGTAATAAGGTGCTATATAAGTTTAATCCATTTATCGTTTTATCTATTTGTACAAATGATGTTGTTAGCATTAATTCCTCCTTTTACAACATTTCCACACACAATTTATGTGCCTGCAGGACACTCACTTGTAAAAATACGTACGAGGAAACTGATGAACACCTAATAACTAAGAAATGACATACATGATGTATTTTATTAAAATGCATTACTCATTTTCATTCAAAAATATTTTTAATTTTTATCAAGCATCAACAAAGCTTTATTTGGCTTTACTGCACTTTCTGCAGAGATTTTATTGATTTTGTATTGCTTGTAATACTGTCATTATTAGAATCTAAAATCTGTTGGCTACAAAAAAAGAGTCAAAAACCACAGAGACGCAGAAAAAATCCCTCTTTTCCCTCCTAAGTGTCTGTAGAAACTGTGCTCTCCTGTCTGTACCCTGTCTGCGTCCGAGTACAGCCTGTCTTTTCTGCGTGCACGTGTGTCTGCTTCCACAACCTGGCTGCCTCTCTCTTCACATCGCGGGGAGGGAGGCTGACAGGGAGGAGGCAAACAAATAATAAAAAGACATGGTTGCACCCCCTCGGGGTAAAAATTCGCCCGGCATCTCCATATGTTGTGTCACTTAGGCCTGTCAGTCAGGCCCACCTTCATCCCACTTTCTCCTTTTCTCCTTTAAAGGAACCGGTGAGCAACTTTTTGAAACAACAGTGACAAGAAGTGAATCAATCCGTACAGATTCTGTTATAATAAATGTGACATAGAAAAGCTGGAATAAAATGTCAAATTAGCAACATTCTATGATTTTTGTTCAGCAATTAAACACGTAAAAAGAACGATCATCCTGAATGATCTAACCTGCTTTGTGTTTGTCTTCTGCAGATAAACAGTCACTCCGCTTCGTCTTCAGGGTCTCTTCATAAAGGAACATGAAGAAACGTTCTGTTCTTCTTGGACCCAGAATCCAAACTGCTGAACAAAGAGACCTGCWGACATTTAAAGGAACCGGCCATGATTCTTACAAAGACACAGAGATGCTGGATGATGCACGGTATATGCAAATCAAAGAGAGAGTGGACTCATCTCATTTCTGCTAACACCRTTGTTTAATTTTGAAACGTTATCCAATTTCTTTGTTTCTGTTAAATGTGTAAATGTGTCAGCTACCATACAGTAACATACAGGAATGTTCTTTGTTTTTTTTTTTTCTTACATAAATCAGATGGATCTACTGTAAAAAAGAATAGAAAAATACTGTTTGTTCCAATTCAGGTGGAGATAAAGCTGTGCTGAAAATGTTTCCATCAATATGACAAAACCAAAAGTTCTGATGAATGATGTCACTAAAACATTCAGAAACTCAAAAATATTATTACCAGCTGTATATTAATGTAACCTTTCAGTTAGTTGTTGCTTTTTCTTGTAAAAATGTCTTAGTTTTTTATTATTATTACAATTATTTACTTAAATATTAAGGGTCTTGTTTTCGGTTCAGTTTGTTATTGTAAACCCATTCAGAATTAAAGTTAAACTAGAGTCACTTTAGTTTTTATTACAATATTTTTTGAGTTAACGTGCCAGTTTTTGTTCAGTCAGCATTTATCCATGACTTCCCTGTGGAAAGCACACTCTCAGTACTGTATGTTCAGGTGAGTAAAGTGCTGTGGATGTTCAGAATTACTTTTGAGTTCAAAATGTTTTTTAATGACTGCCACCCTCAAACTGTGTTGAACTCAAACTCAAGATTTTCACACAGAGACAGAAAAGTTTTGTAATGTCGCTTTCTTAAAGCCACACCCATATTTATCTCATTTTAACTGATTTTTGCTTAAATTGATACCAATTATGTAGCAGGTTTGCAAAAACGTAGCCTGAAAAAGTCCCCTGCTTCATAAATTCTAATTGAAGTTATAAATTCAGTGTTTTCCCCTTTATATTCGTATAATTTCTTCCTTCACAGTGTGCTAACAGTGTAAATTTTTCAGGCTGTTCATTCTGTAGAAGTAGAAAACGTAGCGATAAGATTTTCTACTGACTGTGCTCTTACACACACCTAGTCAAGCTACTAGAAATTATTTGTTCGACAGTTTCAATGATTCTCCTACATCTGTTTGTTTTCTTGTGTTTTCACTTTGCAGGTTTTGTTTAGTATATTTCCATTCTAGCAACGTGTCTCCAGTGTGTTCATCTTCCATAGAGAAATAGTCTATGCATCGATACAAAGCCATAAACTTCTGATTCTTGGAATATCCAGGGAATAAATGAGCTGTTTATTACTGGAGTCTTGACTTTGATCCATGTGGATTTTTTTGATAAATATTGTAAATGATAGTTTTATTTAACAGTCTTTTGTTTGTTTTCTAAGAATGAATTTAAAGCACCCATAAGTACTTGATGTTCGTAGTGGGAGAAGATGTTAAAAACTAGCTTTTAGGAGCGCTACTGATGTCAGAGTTGGGGGTAGAGGGTGGGATATGTTCCTGCAACAGGGTTCGCTGAGCCTGGCTTTAGATTTCGCAGCAGTTTAAACCTGAAGGTTTTATGCAAGCCTCGAGCTTTAAAACAGAATTCTTGTAACTATGATGTAAACACGTTTCATAGTTGGTAATTATGTCGGTACAAGAATTTATATTTTCACCAAGTTTACTGTTTGTCTGACTGTAAAAATGGTTCAAATAAAGTTGTTGGATATCGATTCTTGTCCAATTCATACAGTGTGTGACTTCACTAACGTCAAGAAAAAATGAGCATTTGTGCAATTTATGCAAAAAAGGTGTCCTTATCGTCAATTTTCAGTCACTTATCCAGAACAGATCCAGACCGAACAACATCCTCCAGCTCCTCCTGGCTCCTGGCCTGAGAGGAGAAATTAGTTATCCCAAAATAAATTAAAATATGTAGTGTATATAAAGTGTGCAGACATAAGGAAATGCTAGTTTGCATGATTATCAAACAACCAAAATTACCAACAGACATGACAAATATATAATAAAAAATAAGGAATAGAGAATTTGCATTTCTTCTGAAAATGCAATTTGAATGCTTAATGCTGAAATATTTGTGCTAAATAGCTAAAACAAAGCTGAAACTAGCCTAAAAATAGCTAAAATTAACAAAAAGCAACAGAAATCGCATATGTTTGCTGAATTATCACAAAAAGGT